GAGAAACAAAGCGCAGAATAAAAACACACAACAAACGCGCGCACGCTGCATCGGAGAGCGCTCGTGCGCAAAGCATCAACACTCGTTTTTACGCTTTGCTTTATTTTAATTTTTGATAAAGACGACCGACGACTAAAACGTGGCGTCGCGTTTATGAATTTCAATCAAAACCCTCTCAACCGCGCGTGGGCGTCTCCTGTTCGAGCGCTTTTAATTTTCCGCACACTGGATGCATAGCAAGTATTAAAAATCACCAAACATTTTATGTTCTATTGTCATTTTATAAAATAAATAATTTTATGACATAAAAAAAATAAAAATGGATGAAAACTGAGAAATCCACAAAACAAACAAGAATGTTGTCGGTCGTTAGGAATAAAATCCTTTGTTTGCGCTCACCGAACCAAGGCGATCCTGCTAAGGGTCTGCCAGGTCACGTGATGCACAAACCCTTCATTTGTAGGGATTAGAATTATAATTAAAATGTTGAGCAAAAATATTTTAAACATTTTTTAAATTTTTTGAGCAAAAAATGGCTAAAAACACCACAATTTGTTGCTATTATTTTAAAATATAAAATATTAAAACAAAAGTATTAAAGTTACACCTCAGTTCTCAAGTGATTCATTAAAAACGCAAAGAATATTTATTTGGGTCAGCTTCAGACCCTCACTCTTTGCGCAATAATAAAAAAAATGCAAGTCTGGAAATATTTAATTATTTTCTCAATTTCAAAGTCCAAGAAAATACTCAGTGAAAAAATGCTGGAATTTAATTTGTAAAACACCTCGCACCCCACCACTTGCCCGTAATTTGTTTCGGCTGTGTGTTTACGTTTGTTCTCCCCATTCCTCGTATTTTTTTTCGCTTCTTTGCGTCAGCGCGACTGTTTTCTTTGCATTTTTCCAGAAACGTCGCTCGTTGAACATCTCTATAGCACACAGCATTCGCGTATTCCTCTCTTCCGTCGTACCGGAAAAACTTTTCCTAATTTAGAACTTGTACAAAATGTTCGTTCGAATGTGAGTTAAATGAAAAATGCAAAAACGAAAACAATAAAATTAAAGCGCGCAACGCGGTTGAATTACGATTGGAAACGAGAATCTTCAATTTGCTTATTCAATTCGGCCCGGAAGGAAATTCGCCGCCAAGAAACGCGGGACGAGGAAAAGCTAATATTTGAATTACAATCAGAGATATTCAGTGTTTTTCTTTCATTCCAATTTTTTTCTCCTTCACAAAAGTTTCGAAATAGCTATTTTTAAGAGGGCGGCCAGGGCGGAAACTTTCAACTTTGATGGATTATGACTACACAAAAAATTAAGGTCATACCGAACAGGTTTCAAGGATGTAAAAGGGTGTAATCATCCATCGAATGGGAAAGTCATTTTTTTCGACGTCTTGTGTTTGCATTATTAATTAATCACTTTTTAATGAATCGGACAAAGACGAAAAATAACAACCGAAAATTCGAAGGGAGAGTCAACAACGCGCGCAGGCACGCGAGTTTTACAAATGGAAAGAAAACAAAAAGTTCCGCACGATGATTTCCCGGCCGCAGAAAAGTAATTAATCAACTTTTAACTTTTAACAAGCGCCCACTCGATGCGCATTGTTTGACGACTTTTATTTTTTATTCTCCGCGCGCATTATTTCAGCGCATGCAAAAATAAAAACTAAACTAAATCAATTAAACTGCCAGGGGGTAGTTTTGCATTGTTATTCGACCACTGTAAAGTCTGCAATGCGCCAAATTCGATCGCAACATTTTTTGCCGGTTTTATGCAATTAGTTCTCCCTTTTTTGATCAATTTGCCTGATGGCAATAAAAAATAATAGCAAACAAAAATTTATTGTCAAATGTAGTCCATATAAAATGCATTGCACGTACTGTAGCAACGAGAAAAGGGTTGCGGGTTGTGGGTTGCTTGTAGCGCGTTGTGATTGCAGGTATGCGCGCGACCGGATTTAATAAAATTTGCGTACGCCCAGAAATAAAAAAAAAAACGTAAGTACTCAAAGACTGCGGTTTCGCCAATTACGGCCGGGGCGGTTTTTGGACCCGCATGCACACACGTACACATTCAAACCCACATAGCGCGGGCAGGAAATTGACGAAACGAACTCGCCATTTGAATGAATTCCAATGCGACGCGTACGAAATCCACACACATTCGTTGCGAAACTTTGTTTGAATTTCAATGAGCATCCCTTTGACACACAGAGAAAAAAATTACATTAAAGCAAACAAAAAGTTGCAGGTTATTTATAAAATAAATTTAGCTACATAATTTTGTGCATTTTTTAACTTTTTTAATTAAAATTTATGTTTGTAACACTTTGTATACACGTTTTCGAAATGGGACATTCATTAACGTCGCAGGCTTTGCCTGTTCTGTGTTCGTTCGACGGTTCGTGGCGCATTTTTTGTTTCGGCACTCTCAACGTTTTTAGCTTGTAGCAATTCGTCATTTGATTACGCTAAACCATAATTAACGGAAAATATTCCATACGACGGAAATTTCAAACAATACGAGCTTTTTATGTATTGCCAGAGAGACAAACAGGATATGAACAATATACAGAAACAACATATTGTGAAATTACAACAAAAACATTTTTTTGTAATTTTTTAAATCCGAAACAGAAAAATAAACAAAAATTTGATTAAAAAAATTTGTTTCCTGGCTTATCATGTACACAAAAAAATGATAGCAAAAGTATTAATTGTGTTTAAAGGCAAAACTTGTTTAAAACTTGGCAAACTTTTCTCATCCAGCGAAAGTTAAACAAGATACACAAAATTGGCAAAAATAAACGAAAAACTTTGAAATCTTTGTAAACCGAGCCACAATCTATTCAAATCCAGAATATCTAGAGCAAAATTCAATCCGAAGCTCAAAACTTTCAAATCTCGCATTTACAATATTCACATTCAGTCACAACAACGAAAAACTAAAAGATCAAACTTTAAGCACGTTGCCCAACCCGTCTGTTGTGGAATGTTTGGTTATGTTAAGTCCAAGTCTACGAGAAGCAAAAAAAAAAAACAAATCAAAATGTCTGACTAAAGTTGCGCGTTCGACTCGTGCGGATAGAATATCCCGAGCGCGGCATTTGCGTGCGTTTAAACTTTTCACATGTTGCGGCGTTGCTTGTGCTCGCTGTTCGCCGCCGACACAACTGGAATAAGGAATAGGAAGCGAGGCATAAGGAATGCGGCCGAATTGATTCGCATTTACATTCACATTCACATTCGCGTGTGTTTCACATACGAAATTTTCCATTTTCCTGGCGAGTGCACCAGAATTCTTACTCGGCATCAAAATTCACTTAACAATATAAAAGATATACATTGAGTGCCACCCGGATGCCAATCTCGGCCGGATGGGGGCGGAATTCCATCCCTAGTGCAAAGGGTAATCCGTTTCATCTCGTCGGGAAAAGAGTGAAAACCTTACGGAGGTGATTTCTCAGGTGTTGACCTCAAAAAGTTTTAAAATTATTTGTTTTTTGCATAAAATGTTTATTTGTAACGCTTTTACGCATAAACCAATGAATTAATTTTGATAAATTTTGATATAGAAATATTCCGGACTATGGAAAAGCAAATAAGCAACTTTTTGTCCCAAAATTTTAAGTAAAATGGTGTAAAATAAGGGATGAAAGTTACCATCAATATTAAATCATACTTAATGCTCAATTTTATCATTTTTCACGTTTTAAAATTAAAATTAATAATATTTTTGACAAATTCATCAAAAACACCCAAAAATCATCCATAAAGTTAAAGACAAAGCTCAAACAAGTAAGTTAAAAGTCGTATGTCGTTATGCGATCACCTCGCAGGTATTAACTCCATTTAGACGACGTGATACATGCATAATGAACGTGTCAACAAGTTGCGAGCCTCCCGCGCGCTACCTGTTAACAGTGTCTGCCCGGCGCCTCCACCACCGAACGCTTCCTGCGCGTCAGCCTCGTTTCCGCGCACATCATGACACCGCACGAACTAATACGAATGGCATGCTAAAACGAACTTTTCACCACTGACGAATGCAAACGAAACGAACAATGCCAAAGACGACTACAAACTGAATGTGTGTGTTGGGAGTAGTTTTCGCCGCACGCTTCGAATGATAATGACAACGATGGCTGTGTTGTGATGTTGTGATAACGCGACGCGCCACCAAGTTGTTGTCTCTGCACTATGCAAGACGGAAGTGCGGCGGGTGAATTAGAGTACAAACTTTTTGGGTAAGTGTTTACTGTGGAAAGTTTAAATGAATTTACTTCTGAAATGACAAACAAGTCAAAACAAAAGATAAATTTTAATTCAACTGCGCATGCGCAGTAAAAAAGTAATTCAAGTGATTAATCGAAGTCACAGGAACAAAAATAAAAACACAACAAACATAAATCACCCACTCGACAAGCGAAATGAGACGATTCGTCATAAATGCACGCACATGCTCCACCATCACACACATGAAAGTTGTTATTAATTGTTCGTTTGTTGTTGTTGTTGTTGGTTGAAAACTTCCGCTCGCGCATTTGGAGTCATCGCGGCGTAAAAGTGTAAAACACTCTCGGAGGTCGTAGGCATAGTAGTAGGGGGGTTGCATGCGCGGACTTTGCACCCGGAAAACCAGCATGTGGCCATCCCGGCCACATAAATTAGACGCGCGCGCCCGAGGACCGCAATTCATATTTTAAATCCAGCTGGGAAATTATTAGAAAGGTTAAATTAATTAGCGCGCCGGGCGCGACACTCCCACCGTCAGGAGCGCATAACTTTCCAGATTGAAGCAAAACAAAGCTCGGGATTGTTTGTATATACAGATATTTATGCAGATGGCGGCGAGATTAAAAGGATTCGGCCGATCGGACGCAGAGGGCGACTTTAATTAAGGCGGGCCCGGAATTTATGTAACAAGTTGCGAATTGAAGGCCGCGCGGCGCACACACGTTGGCTAGTATTTTTACATTTCGGTACTCACGTTACGAAAATCGATGAACTGCGTCACCAGGGTGCCGTCGGAGCGCTGGAATTCCAGGACGACCGTGTCGTCGCTCACGTTCGCTGAAATGTTTTCCTGGAGGACTTCACCGCCCTGGAAATGAAATAAAAATCGTTATTATTCAAAACAACAAACAAATTCACGCATATTTTAATATATATGCTCCATATTTGATTTTTAAACTACTGCGCATGCGCATTAAATAATTTTATTCAAAAAAATAAAAATTTTAAAATAAAAATAATTCAACCACTTAATTTTCATCACAAGTGGTCTATAACAACCCTTATTGAGCCTATAAAAATCTAGCGTGTTCGATAGCAACCCTTAACCGTTTATTTTTACCACACTCGACTTTTAACACCGCAGGTAGGCGCAAGGTAACAGCAGAACATAGCTTTAGGGTGGAATTCTAAGTATAAGGGTAGTAATATAATGAAGAGATGCAAATCAGCACTCATTTTTTCCTACAACGAGGGTGTGGATGTCGTGTCGAATACGACATGCGCTTTGTCGTTGCCTCGAAAAAACAAGGCTGGAGACCTAGAATGCCCTTCTCGGCTCGGGATCGAATTATATTTTCATATATATTTTATGGAAATTTTCATCGTTCAACGTTTGAGTGTTTTTGTTGTGTGTTGTGTGTGTGAGGGTTTTTTTATATCGCGATATGTTATTTTTCGCCGTTTCGCTGTTTTCTTTTTATTGAGACGAAGGGATGAAGAAGCGTGCAAAACGATGGGATGAAAAAACGTAGGCTTTTGGATTTTATCGTCTTGGGGCTTAGGAAAATAAGAAAATACATAAACACAGAACATAAAAAATCATACTTATGCTTAATGCCGGATGAAAAAATATAGCGGTCAAAAGTTTACAGAAACTTGTTTCATTTTTGTGTTAATAATTAATTACAAAAAAGAATTTGTAAACCCAAAAAATGATTTTTATTAAATTTTACTTGTTTATTACCTAATTTAGCAAGTAAAGTTAATAAAAATGTTTAAAAAAATGTTTTTTTTTTATAAAATAAACACTTTATTTGGTAAATTACTTAAAAATTAAATATATTATTATTAGTTTATAATAATTTACTTCAAGTTTTCCCCCAAAAACCTTTAGAAAAATGTTTTTCTTTTTCCTTTTTGCTTTTATGATGATAAATTATTTTTCATGACGTTTTCAAGATATTTGTAACGCGAGATGTAAATATCCCTCGAATATCTTAGTTAGTCGAGCGCAAACATGAATTTGCCATTTAAATTGCAACATCGTCGCGACGCTGATTAATAATATTCGGAGTGTATAACACAGCTGGTAGTTTCGTGCCAAAACGATCATTAATCATTCGTCGGCGCGCTTAGGTGCGACGCGCGTTCCTCATATCAACCACCGACTGCAATGTGCGGGCTGAAGCTAAGCGTGCCGAACAACGCTAAACGCCAAGCGGCGCGACGCGCTCATCGTCGATTAATTATTGCTCATTGACTTATTGGAAAATCCCCCAAGGGGCCAAAACAAACAAGTTTACATGGCACAACTTTACACGTTACATAAATATATTTTTTTTGTATGAGAAGAAAATATTTCTAATTATTTCAAAGAAAAACAGAAAATATTAAGGAAATAATGCATAAAAAAAATTAAAATATAATACTGTAGTTGCTTTCCAGTATTTCTGAACCTAAATCTCTTGTAAATCTAAAGAAAACAACAAATTTCCGTTTTTTTTTTAAAGTAAATTGAAAGTAATCATAGAATTTTCCAGAATTACGTTAACTTAATGTCACTATATAGGAGAGAAACTCAGTATCCGCGTGTGCGGATATTCGAGCGTGTCCAGTTTGACAAACATTTGCTTTCAACTCGATTCACCCGATGCACTAATGACGCGTTCTCCGCCCGCCGCCGCACGAAGGGATTTCGTCGGGTCAGCGGCGCCGCACGCGGGGTTTAATTGAACGCGACATTAGAGTGCCGGACGAGCGGACGCCCTTTATCCGCGTCCCGGCTCCGGCTGCGGCTGGATAACGCCCAGCTCAAGATCCAGCTCCATACAGGCCCATTCAGTGTTTAAACCAGGATGGGGCTTGCAATTCTGCTATCCGCTGGAGACGCGGCTGGGAGGGTGGTAGTGGGCTTGAAACATTGAGAAAATCAGTTGGGAGACTAGAAACGCGTAACGTGGGACACTCACATGGGAATGTGACATTCTTAAATTATTTCCGGGCTATAAATTTCTTGAATTATTTATTTCCTTAAACTTCAGACCTTGGAGGCACTTTCAGTTAGATTTTAATAATAAATTGACTATGCGCATGCGCAAGCTCCATCCGTGACTAAAACCCGCGAATAAAGTACTTTAGTCACGGCCGTGTATAAAGTATCACTTTTTATGTATCAAAAACGTGAACAAACAGACGTTTTTGGAAGAAAAAAGTTAAAAAAATAAATTTCGATAATAATTTGATACATATACCCTGATTAATTGACATTGACGTGGTTACATCACTGCAAAAACCAAACACGATTTTTTTTATGCACATATAACTCAGAGTTATGCAATCTGCATATTCTGTGTGCATGCGTTGTCGATAATTAATTATTGAAATTAAATTCATCAACATGTGGTATAATCTGCTCCTCGATCGTCGGCTGAAGACTCTCGACGGCGTGCAGTTGACGGCAGGATCGTTTCTCGACTAGCGTGTGGGTGGGTAGCGCTGATGCGTTAGTCGCGTTCGTCCCGTCAGAATATTAATGGCCGCCTGCCGCTTCTCGACGAAATTAGACATCGGAAATTTCGCCCGTCGAATTTGCTATCGATCCTGCGTGCCGCGCCAAAACGTTCTAACGCCAACAAGCAAGTCGTCGTCAATTTAGCGCGTTTCGCACACCTGGCCGTGGCGGCCTCAAACCAGCAGCGTGCGTTAGTTGCTTCATTTGGAATTAGTATCCGACCAAAACCTCATAATTTGTCGTATATTAAATTTTGGGGCGTATGTTTGGTCGGACAGCTTTTAAATGGGTTTTTGTGTGTGTGTGTGTCGGCAAGAAACATCGCGCGACTTAATTACGTCCAACGCGTCGTATTTTTGCGCCTAAAGATGGTGCCACCCCTAACCACACTCACACATTCACCCTCCAACAAGATGTATTAACATCAGCTATAATTTTGATCACATTCTGGCTTCACAATGGAACATTAATTACATTTTACACATTTGTGCGTAAAATCTACGAATTTATACTGTGAGTTACAATAAATCACAAATATTTTATTTCTGGTGTTGAAAAATATTCATTTTGACACTTAATATACAAAATCAACATCAAAGCAATCGACAAAAGCATAGAAACGTTGTCAAACGGTAAATTTAATTAATTGCAGCTTATCATTCCTTTGAAATGTCGACTAGAAATTTTTTGTCGCCAAAGATTTTTCTTCCTTTGATGTGATGAAAAGCCCCTCGAGCAGGAGAGCTTTCTTTGAAACGAAAAGTTCGTAATATCATAAAACAATGCTTTGTAAGCACTATCACCGTGTGCCCAGCGATAGTGTGTCATCCTCGGGGATACGTTCATCGTTTCATCGCTTATTAATAGTTGTCCCATCGTTGGATTTTTCCAGCGCTGCTTCCATCACGCTTTATTGGTAAACGCAAACTGCGACTGGAAAAGAACGAGAGGGTGGAAAAAAAGTAAGCAAGCAAGCGAGGAAGGCCAACGTGCCGAACGCGTTATTAAAGTTTATTAAAACATCTCTTCGTCTGGCCGTGCGGTGCAGTGAAAGCCGGCGGCGCGTTTGGATGAGACAAGGCCGGAAAAGCGGAAAAATGCCTCGCAGGCACCAGACGAAATATTACGCGCTAATGCGATGAAGCGACGAAGGAAGTGTGCGCATTAACGAACGCCAACTCTACGAAATCCTACAGTGTGCTCATTTTCAGACAAGTAATAATGTTTCATGGTTTGCCATTTGCTCAAACAATTTTGAGCCTTCAAAAAACATTAATAATAATTAATTTTAGATCAATTTTAATAAGGATTTAAAAACAAAATTAATAATTTCTGAAAATTTTGTCTTAAATTGTAAAATAAAACTTTTTTTTTCCATTTTTTTTCTTTTTTCCAAAAAAAATTGTACAAAAACCCCCAAAATCTTTTTTTAAGAATTACTTTGTTTTTCTTTAGTTCACGAAAAGAATATCCAAACAAGTTTTAATCTCCTTTCCCACATCTTCCCATCCAGACTTATTTACTTCTCAACTTCGTCTCCGCACAGTAAATAACAAAAGCAAGATGAACGTGACAAGAAATAATAAAAGCAACTCACTTAAAAAAACTCACAATGCTCTACGCAGGAGAAAACTGCGCGAAAGCATCAACGTTTGTTATGTCAATTATGAAGTTATTTGTGTAAAGTTTGAGTTTTTCCCCACAACTTTTGTTCTTATTTTACTTTGTAATTCAAAACTTTTAACGACGCTCATATTTCACATTCAAACAATGTCCGAATGAAAATAATTCGGAGTTTTTTTTTGTAAATGGCGTGTTGGATTGGTCTTGAAGTGGTAATAAAATAGGTGTTTTTGCGTTTTAGGGGCGGTTTGAAGCCCAAAGACGTTTAATGACGGTGGCGCGGTGAAAGTGGTAAAAATAACCCACCTCGCCCTAGTTCGATGCTCGTTCGACAAAAAAAAACGTTCCGAGGTTCTACAAATTAAATTTCCGTCCTCCCTTGCTTCGCCGCCCCCACGCCCCACGCCCCTTTAGCGCTGATTTCTCTCATTTTCATCTCGTTTTTACTTATTTTCACATTTACACTGATTTCACGACGCTTCATCAGCGCGCTAAAAGTTAAATGCTGGAGAAAGTATGATGGAATGCGATGAAAAACAACCCTTAAAAAATAACCCTACAAAAAGTTTTTAAAATGCCCAAAAATGTTTTAATTTAGTATCCATACATTAAACACAAACAAAATATAAATTTTCTTGTTTAAAATTTTTTTTACAAAAAATTTCTGAGATTTAAATTGCAATCTTAACATTTTCCAGTCGTGCCTAATGTGATATGGTGCAGCACTTGAAAAT